TGGGAATACAAGAAACAGCAGCTTTCCCAGAGCCCAGCAGAGATCAGGGCTCTGTTCTGCCCATCCCTGGCTTCCACCCTGTCAAAAAGGTGGGAAAAGAGACTGGGACCCTCCCTTTGGAGCTGAGGAATGAAGACACACTTAACTGAGCTCACACCGTGGCAGACTGAGGCAAGGGCTCTGATCTTCCATCTGCCCCGACGTGGATTTGATCCAAAATGGGTACTAGGAGGGGATTTGGCTCTGGTGGGAGTTTTGGTGTCCAGTTTCAGAGCTGCCCTTGCTCTCTGCTCCACTGCCAGGGGCCCTCAGATGTCCTGTGCCAGCAGCAGAGGTGTTTGGTGCTGCACAGGTTGGATGAAGATGAGGATGCAGGGCAAGACTGGCACTCTCAGCAGGATCTCCTCAAAAGGGACACTTGGAAGCAGAAGCATCAGAGCCCCTTAGCACTTGATTTTCTTGAGGTTTAAAAGAAAGGGTCTTTCTTACTCTGCAGAGAAGATAACCTGCTTTATTGCTCTCTGCAGGGGAGACCCCATGGCTGTTACAGCTTCCTCATGAGGGGAAGCAGAGGGACAGCAATGATCTCTCTGCTCAGTGTGACCTGGGACAGGACTCAGGAATGGTTGGAGCTGTGTCAGGGCAGGGTTAGATTGGATACAGGAAAAGGTTCTTCCCCCAGAGGGTGGTTGGCACTGAAGAGGCTCCCCAGGGCAGTGGGCACAGCCCCAAGGCTGCCAGAGCTCAGGGACTGTTTGGAAACACTCTCAGGGACAGGGTGGGATAGTTGGGGTGTCTGTGCAGGGCCAGGAGTTGGACATGAGGATCCTTGTGGGTCCCTTCCAACTCAGGCTATTCCAAATCACTCGGGGGGTGACCCAGGCTGTGAGGGTGACATAACCCTGCTCCCACTGCCACCAGAGCCCCGTGTGCCCTCCCCATCCAACCACACCCCTCTACCCACCTCCTGCCCCTCCAGCTGCCAGACCTGACTGGCACCCCCAACCCCCCCTCAGTGTCCTGGGGAGCAATCCCAGCCCTGCCAAGGCAGCGATAAGGCTGCAGGGCTGTCCCACACTGCACCCACACCCTGCTCCCCGTGCTGGGGGTGCCCAGCACGCCCCTCCCGGGGCTCCTGGCAGGCCGGGCAGTTCCCCGGGATCCAGGGTGGGGAGGGAAGATGCTCGGCAGCGCCCGCAGCTATTCAGTTACCCGATGGTTGTGTTTGAAGAGCTTCCCTATCGCCCTTTTTGTAAAAAGCTTTGGCTTCCCCCCCATAGCCTCAACAGATGAAATCAAAGGGAAGTAGCTCGGCTTGGTGTAACCTGTTTTGATCGAGCAGATAAACGGGGGAACAAGTGTCTGACACAAACAAACAGACAGACAGGGGCAAGTCCCACCTCAGCGTTTTGTTGCATCAGATACCGAGGGCTCAGATAAACCACAAGAAGGGGGAGATCTCTCTCTGCCCCTGGGCTGCAAGACCAGGGGCGACACTCGGCAGTGCCAAGCCCCCACAGTTCCCATCAAAAAAATCAACCCAGGGCTTTGCTTGGCATGGCTTTCATCAGTTTAAAGAGATGAAAAGAGCTCGGAGCCAAGCAGAAAAACTCACTGCTTGTCATTACCCCCCATGGAGTCAGCGGGACTGACTGCTTGGGAGCTCAAGCCACGCGTTAAACCAGGCTGGAATCACGCAGGGAAAGGGAAAGGGGGACCCCCCCAAGACTGGAGGGGTCAGGGTGGGAGTGACCCCCCCCCCCCAGAGCTCCTGGATGATGGGGAAACATCCAACTCGCTGCCCCCCTGGGAGAAACTGGTGCCTGTTCCCCTTTCCCCCCCCTCACACACACGATAAAAAAGGGCAGAGTGGAAGTAAAGGAAGGATTAAGATGCACAGGGTTGGGCAGGGTTGGTGATATTCCTTATAAATTATTATTTTTTTTTAAATCACAGTTGGTTTTTTTTTCCCCCTTTTTTTTTTCTTTTTTTTTTAAATGGCAAAATTCCATTACAACCAGTACACTCG